TTCTTTATACTCACCGACTAAATTAATGCGAATGAAATGAATTTAAACGTAATGGTAAATAAGTATTTATGTTCTTGATTTGTGAACTTGCTTTTAATTCCATTGTTTTTTTAATTCCATTGATTAATAAATGTTCTTTATACTCACAAACTAAATTAATAGAATGAAATGAATTTAAACGTAATCGTAAATAAGTATTTGTATTTTTGATTTGTGAACTTGTTTTTAATTCCATTGATTAATAAATGTTCTTTATACTCACACACTAAATTAATTGATTAATGCGAATGAAATGAATTTAAATGTAATGGAAATAAATATTGGCAGATCTTATATCAATAATAGTCTTTATACTCACGGGCTAAATTAACATGTAATAATATATATTTATCTGAGCTTATAATAGTTTACATGTAGATTAATAACATGTATATAGATTAATAAATAGACTTACTCTCTAATAATTAAAATCGGATAATCAAAATTGTATGAGATATTTCAATTATAAAATAAAAATTAGAAAGCATTATAATAAAATATTGAAAATTAACATATTAAAGAAATAACATACTTATTTAACCATTCCATAAATTCACCATATTTCTTTTTCACGCCAATTCCATAATAGTAACAAATAGCAGTTTTCCAAATTCCCATGGAATTACCTGCCTCGGCGGATTTCAAATAATATGTAAATGCTTTATGCTTATCAACTTCAACTCCAATTCCTAAGTAGTAACAATAGCCAACTTGATATATTCCCTTAGGATAATTCGCCTCTGCTGATTTTTGGTAATGCGTGAATGCTTTGTTTACATCTTTTTCGACTCCAATTCCATATTCGTAACAATTACCAAGCCTGTACGTTCCGTCTGGATCATTCATATCTGCCAATTTTTGAAAATCAGAGAAATTCAGTTTATTAAAATCGTTTACTAAGCTTTCTTCTGTCAAGTCTTTATTTGCCATTTTGACGTAAAATTCGTACGTACGTACCGATACGATATATTTATTAGATTTACTGGATTTACTGTTGTTGTACTATATAGTTATATATATAGTTAATATAAATTATTATTATGTATATATATAGAATAATATTTGGAACTTGTTACCTAAACTTTATTCAGTGTGAAAAATGGTTTGTACGCCGTTTATTGTACATGCGTACGTATAAATTTGTTTGGTTAAGCTCTACATGTACAAAAAGTTAACCCAGTTTTTATAACTTAGCCGTACTTGTGAATTCCGTTCTATTAAGAGATCATCATTTATTAATTAATTGAAATGATATCTGGTGCATAAGTTTCATGCATATTTCAAATTAACTGTCGCCTTATACAGATTATTATCATCTCATCTTTTGGATAATGAATTGCTTATGGCACGTACGCTCATAAATTATTAATTTAGTCCTGGGAAAGTGCTTAATATATTAACCATCGATTTTATACAAATATGGTGTAAAGGACTTACCCGATTTATTCACGCTTCTACCTATTCTGCTTATCAGTCTCATTTAATGTCCATTTTCTAAAAAAAGTGAAAGGCTTCAATAATGATAACCCTTTTTTTTCTATTTGGCTATTGCGCATATCATATCCGCTAATTATAATTAACTGTCATGTAATTGCTAAATAAAATCTATCGATGTTATTCAAAACGTGATTCCAAAATACACGTGAAGACCAGTAGTTAGTTAAGACTCGAATACACCTGATAAATAGAAAATGAGCAAGTATAAATATTTGTAAATAGTAAATAAAACTACTAAACCCACCTATACTCTTTAAATATCAAATCTATTTAACCCTAAAAAAAGTGGAAAAAATGGCCAAAAATTTTAAACCTTATATAAAAATATATCAAAATTTCGGCATCAGCTGCAACAATATATGAGTGCTGCCAAGGGAAAAAGGCCGTTCGGACTTTCAATTATCTTTTGTGTACTGTTAACTTTCTATGGAAAATTTATCATCATGATAGATTTTCCATAGACGGCTAACAGTAAAAAAATTTCTTTGTCCCTTGGCAGCACTCATATGAGAACTAACTAGGAAATTGTTGATTTGGGATTAAATGATTTCCAATTGATTATCAAATTAAAATTGATTTTTATATAACGATAAACTTCAATTTTACAGATTAGTAGGAGAATCTTTTAACTCCCAGATCGACATTTACCTGAACCTATTTATGATTCTCCAATTGATTATCAAATTAAATTAATCTTTATATAATGATAAACTTCAATTATTTGATTAGTCAGAGAATCTTTTAACTCCCAAATCGACATTTTCCTAGACTTCCTAGACTAGTTCTCATATATTATGAGTAAATTCGTAATTCTGTAAAATCAAATCATTTAAATAGATTTTGAATTTTAAAATGATTTCATTGTTAACGTCACTTTTAAGTGACTGTTGATTAAAAATTGACGTATGTACATTCGTACGTAAGTTTAAAGTTTATCCGATTAAAATATAACATACATCGAACCTAATGCAATTATTTTAAATAAAAATTGTTATATATATATATATTAAAGTGGAATGTCTGTCCGGCAACACCGGCCAATCAGAGGGCTTCATTTGGATGATCCTCAAAATTACCAATCATATTGTTTAACTAATACCACGTGATTAATATGTTGGTTGTATATACTAATACGTATACGTCCATATATAGTATATATATATATATATTGCTAATAGGCTAAATTTTAAATCATGTATTATTATTATGCCTCTATAAAAGTGTACCGTATGGCTAACAATCTAAGAATAAGGACTTTTACATTTATCATATTAATGTAATTTCCATGCTAAAAAAACTTTAATATACAACATAAGGCGCAGATATTCTAATCATTATAAATAATTATGAAAAGTATATATTCAAATGTCTACTTTATAGATTTAAAATCATTTTAATTCGATTCTGATTCTATGATGACTATAGTATTCAATCATTTTTGTTATTGTTGTTTTAATGTATTCTCTAACTATAGAATTAATTTACACATTATTATTACTGCTTAAGCGAAACTATTATGTAATAATGCAATTGCTGAAACTATAATACATATAAATTCATAATACTGATTTTTTGTTATATAAATCTCAACTAACCTAGCCAAATTTATACTATAATAAATGAAATTAATATACTATAACAGATTAATTTCTTTTATAAATACAAATTCATACTAAAACATAACTTATATAATAAAATAAATGAAAGAAGAGGTGCATAAGCACATGCAAATGATGCAAAAGACAAGGACAGATGCAGAGTTAAGACTGCAACAAAACATAGAAAAACTGTTTTGTCATCTACAAAGCAGCAGCATATACAAGAACAGGATATGATGCAAAGACATTTATTAAGAAATAAAAATTGTAGTTTGAATAAGTTTTTTTCATGCTAAATCATATTTACTAAAAACTTAATCAAAATTTACATTATTGCTCAATAAAAAATCTCTTACCGTATTTGTACGTAATAACGCGCAGGGTTGTAATTTTGAATTTTGGCCTGAATTAAGCTTAAATCAGACCATGACTCAAAATAATGCCCTACATGTTATTACATACAAATATGGTATATTTTTAGTATATTATATTCATACTATATACTATGTGTTATATTATAAATATATATTAAATGTATTCTATATAGAATATGGCACATGGTGCCATGTGTGGAGCTAGTATATTTTCTATACAACATATGATTTCTTTTATTTAAACCTTTGAACTGACTATTATATGAATAACCAAGAAAATGAAATACATACCGTTTAGACAATACAAATATATAATATATTACTATAAGCTTATTTATAAAAAGTTTACTTTGTAAAAAAAATTACTCAAATATAACCTCCGTTCCTGGTTTTGTGCGACAATGTCGCACAGCTACCTTATTTCCTAACTCAAAATCTTTATACTATTTCCTATTTTTAGTTTATATGTTCTCTACAGGCAGTTAACATCAATATGTAAGCATCCAAATATTTAATATAGTTGACAAAGTAATAGGAAAGTATTCAGAAGCGTAAATATACAATGTAAATTGGCTTTTTTTTTAATGTTGTATTTGATCTATTCTACAAAATCAATGTTGTAGTACAATAATATAATACTAATTTTTTAATTAAACTATCAAAGGCTGCGCATGAATTTGATGAAATGATTATATGTACCTTTTTAATTCAATAATAGATTACTTTTTTTCTAATTCTACCAGATGCATTGGTCACTTAGTCAAAAACAGTGCAAAATATAAAATCATAAAAGAATATTTTTTTATAATTAATAATAAATTCTGAAACAAGTAAAAAATTCTATTAAGTGCTACAAACACTGTCTCACAGATCATGAGACTAAAGCATGGCAGTTAAATTGCATGAATCAACACGCAGCCAGAGATTCGTAATAAAAAAATGTCATTGACTAAAATCATTTCCCACTTTGAGAAATGCTGCTTCTTCTACGTTTTTAATCTAACTTACTAACTTTCTAAAAGCATTTCATTGTTTTAGTTTTATTATTTAGCTAAAATTACACATAATGTATTCTGCAGATTTCATTATTTCTGGCACCTTTTGCTAACCAGCATTTATCTAATTACACGACCGGACCGGTTTTACCGATTCTTTTTAATTTTTCAATCTAATATAAAAATTAGAAGTAATAATTAGTTATGAATCTATCTTCTACGATCTATTTTGATTCGCATGAATTTTAGGAGTATTATTATTTTATAACAAATAATCTTACTATAATGCCACTTAATATTAGATCGATTTTCGACCATATTAACTCAAAAAAAGATTATACAGACTTTATTAAATTTAAACCTCTAAGTATTTCAAGCGGTATAAGTTATACAGAATATTTAACTAGTGTAAATTTTAGCAAATAAAAACAAATGAATATTTATAATATTTTTATTCAAGATTGTCTACAAAACTATCCATGTCAAGGAAATCTTCCACTACCAAAGCTTTGTTATCAACCACCTTTACTTTAATAGATGGAAAATGGTTCTTCAATCGTTTTTCAATTACACTGATAACTCTTTCATTGCTTAACAATCCATGCCCTTGTTTCTCAAATTCTAAAAACCATTTTCCTTTTTCATAATTGGTAAATGGTTCTGCATTTGACCATGTACCTTGGCTTCTATATTCAACTTTAACTTTCGTGATAAATCTATTCATTGCTTCATTAATAAAACATATTAAACCTTCACAAAATTTATCAATAATTGTAGCACCTTGTTGTAAGTTACGAGCAGCACCTTTTTTTGAATGAATTGGAATATTAAAATATCCGCATTCTAATTCTAAAGCATGTTTTGGAACTGGAAATTCTTTGCTCTTAATAAATTCATCACTCCAAAGGACTTGACCAGTGCGATAATATTCTAAAATGCAATAGAAAGCATGACCATTTCGATCAATAAAATATTCATTACCACCAGGATAAATTGGTTTGATTGTTTCAGGATTTTTAGGGTCAAATAATTTTCCTAAAGTTGTTTCTGGATGAGCAATTAAAGTTTTACGTGTAGTTTCGAACTATAAGTAAGTTTTAAATTAAATATTAATTCTTTATTAAAATTTTTAAAATATAATTTTTTAAGAAAGGTTTATGACTTACTTTAACGCCACCAACATTTAAAATTATGATTTCGTCGTCCATTTCGTTTTTTATGACAGTATTTTTAACGTGTTCAAGTAATTCATCCATGTTGTGATTTATAATTAAACTTTTTATTTATATAATTAATAAAATTATTTGTATACGTATTATAAATAGAGATAAGAGTGTAACAGTCACACGTACAAAAGACTAACACAATTGATATTTGCACTTTTGTGATCTGTGAACAGTAATACTAAATGAAAATATGTAATTCGTAAACTTTATTGTTCGTCTTATGAACTAATTAAATACATATTGTATTTTAAAATATATTGTATTAAAAATATCATGTATTCTTAACTAAATATGAGATATCTTGGAGAAAATAATCTATAATATATAGCTTGTTAGACTAATTAAATGTATCGTATGCATGAATATGTAGATGTATCAGAATAATTTATTTAATATAATTGTGTGATATTGCTACATAAATATTAATTGTAAATTGTATTACGAATCATAAGTAGAAAAATTTTACTAACCATTTTAAGTCAATTCTTGTTTGAGACCCTCAGAATCCTCATTACTCTCCTACCAAAACTTTTGATTATAATTGTGAATGTTGTGAAAGGGAAGATCGACCCTAACTTAGTGTGTCGCACAAAAATTGCGCAGCATATACATGACTTTGATTGGATATATAGCGATCCGTTTTGTTATTTAAAAACTTTAATAAAATATTGTAACTACAATACATTGAGAAGAAATGATACAACGTCATTATATATTATGAATCAAAATATCTCAATTTCTGCTTTTACTTCGGCAAGTGCTAATAAGATTATATTATTTTTTAATTTTAATAACATTGAATTGTATAGTAAAGAATTTAACCGCAATATAAAGTAAATATAGACTTTGAAGCAAAGCATCGTATATTGTTGATGAAGTCTTAGAATTGATAATATAATAATAATAATAATTCTGTATATGTTAATTGCTAATAATAATTAAATAAAAAAAATAATGCACAATCGATTTATTGTTTTAATATTATATAAAAGTTTATTGAACAAATTCATTGTTTAAACTTTAACGAATATGTTTAATTATTTAATACTTCACTATGATCAGTTTATAAAATAAATCAATTATTTTATGGTATTTTTAAATGATAAAAT